GCGCTCAAAGTTGCTACCCCCTCCCCCTCAGAATTATCTCCTTAATGTCTTGTCGTGCCAGCTCCTTCTAGCTATCTTGCTACCTGGGTTCCCATGTTGAAGCCCTTCTCCATGCTTCCCTCTGTCCAAAGTTGCTGCAGCACCAGAATTCATTCCTTGAATCTTTTGTGGTCAGAGTGCCCGAAGTTCCTAACTGCTTCAGATGATATGCATCTCACATCAAATGGCCACGGCCATTGAGAGTACTTTCCTTGTAAGTGCCTTGTCGTGCCAGCTCTTTCCCTCTATTATACGCCCCAGAGTCCTCATGTTGGAGCCCAAACTTTTCCACATACGATACGGAAGCACCAAAATCCATTGCGCGAGATTCCATGGCCATACTGCCCGGTTCCTCTTTCACACGCTCCCCCTTCCCCAAATCCTCTCCTAAGTGCCTCGTCAGGTCCCAACACTTTCTCGCTATCTTAATACAGCAGAGTTTTCACGTTGGAACCCTTCTCCGCGCTTCTCCCTGCCCAAAGCTGCTGATGCCCATTATGCGAAAGCACCAAAAATCATTCCTTGAATCTTTTATTCAGAGTGTTCGAAGCTCCTAGCTCTCCCACTTCCCCCTCCTCCGCCCTGGATTCTCTTCTAAGGGCCGCATGCACTAACCTCCCCACTGGGGAGGGGATTGCAGCTTAAAAGAAAGCTTCATATCTGAAGCTCCAGATATCTGGATTTCACGTTGTGTACCTGTCCGTAAGTATTCCTACTACCCTCACTATGAACATGTTGAATAGGAGCGAGAAGCTGTACAAACCGCATTTTCCAGCTTTTGTATGATCCCTGATGATCCCCGGCGCTTTTCTTTAGAGTCATTTTTCTTTCTCCAAAGTTAACGAAAACCTTCCAAAGTTGTACTGAACATCTAACACAAGAGTGCTAAGCATGTTGCTGATAAGAACAAATGATGTTTTGAAGTCATGAAATTTTCGATGATCCACAGGTCGAAATTTGAGGTTGACCGAAAAATTCAACTTTTCAAAAACTCATTTGTTATCATCAGCAACATGCTTAGCACTGTTGTGTTAGATGTTCAGTACAACTTTGGAAAGTTTTCGTTAACTTCGGAGAAAGAAAAACGACTTCAAAGAAAAGCGCCGGGGATCATCAGGGATCATACAAAAGCTGGAAAATGCGGTTCGTGCAGCTTCTCGCTCCTCTTCAACATGTTCATAGTGAAGGGTAGTAGGAATACTTACGGATAGGTACACAACGTGAAATCCAGGTATCTGGAGTTTCGTAATATAAAGCTTTCTTTTGAGCTGCGATCCCCTCCCCGCGGGGATGTTAGTGCATGCGGCCCTAAGGTGCCTTGTCGTGCCGGCTCTTTCCTTTCAACTTACTATCCAGGGTTCCCATGCCGGCGCCCAGACTCTTCTCCATAGGATACGGAAGACCAAAATCCATTGCCCGAATCTTTTTATGGCCAGAGTGCCCAAATTTCCTCGCTCACACCCTCCCCCTCCTCCTAGTTCTCTTAGTGCGCCATCATACTCCAATTCCTTCGTTGTTTTAGTATCCCAGAGTTCCCCTGCTGGAACCCTTCTCCGTGGGCTTCTGGCCAAAGTGACCGAATTTTCTTCCTACTAAACTCCTTCAATGAGAGCGTTGAGTTCCATGGTCTCATTCCTTCTCCCCGCCCAAAGCTGCTGTAGTCAATGCATGAGAAAGCAAAGGACCGCATGGCCAGAATGCCCAAATTTGCCTTCCTTTCTTACTAATCTAGCTTTTTGCATGTCACGGCTTCAAAATCCTTCCTGCCAAGGTATTTGCAGCAAAGGGACAAGTTTACATCAGGACTCTCTTCAGTTAGTGCCTTTATCTTTAGTTTCTCCATCAAAACAGCTCAATCCGCCTTCCAGGGACTTTTCTAGCGAGGGCCCAAATTCCTTCACTTAGAACTTAGGTAAGAGCATAGAGTTCAACGATGCTTGTTTCTTCCCTATTCAAAATTGGTCTAGCCAAAGCGCCCAAGCCATATTAGCTACATTTTCGCATTTTGAACCTCGCAACTATTTACTTATTTTTTAAAATTGCAAAGTGCGTACATTCTCCAAGAAAAGCTCCCATTCTTTCTCTCTCCCTCTCTTTACCTGCTCATCTTTTGCACGTCAAGGAAAATATTTTTTTGAAGTATGTGTGAGAGATGCCCAAAACACCCTTTAGATAATACAGCAAACCTGATTTTCCGCGACTTACGTGAACTGCTGTGACAAAAGTCCCTCCTCCCAGTCCCACTCTATGACCCCTCTGTATGACCCTTCAAGGTGGCGTGCTCCAAACCACGCCTGACTGTGGCTTGGCGTGCCACACCTCGCGCTTGACTATGGCTATATTTCTAAGTGCAGCGACCTATCTCATGTCCGAAAGAGCTCGTTGCCATCTTTAGTAAAAGTGTTATACGGCGTCAAATAAGCGATCACCGACTCAAACAGGTATGTCATTTCAGGGAAAGAAAATGTGCAATTGTAGTCGAAAGAGTCAAGAAATTTTGCGGCAGACATGAATCTGACATAGACATGGCTAGGTCATCGTCGCCCACCTTGAGGCTGCAAAAGGCAATTCAACCATCTCAACCAGAGAGCAATACGTCATCGTAATTGTCAAGTATGCCCCCGCCCCCCCCCCCCCCCAGTCGAGTAAAGAGACATATATAAACGAATCATAACAAACTTCACCCCACGAGTTACCATTTGTAAAAAGTTGCGTCCAAATGAAGCCCATGATCAATGCAAACGATAAAGGTCGTCATGAAAACACAGTAGATATAGTCGCTTCGTTGACCGCACGGACAGGGTAACACTGCGGAGCACGCGCCGCTAAGCACGCTTGCTCCAGTATAGATTCGCCACTGTACAAGTCGTGCTCTCGCAGCATTTCAGCCGCGCCGCGCGTGGTCCGCAGCGTTAAAGCATCCGTGCGGCCAACGAATTGACGATACATAAAGTAAAATCTACTAAAGTGACAAACGAACGACAAATATGTTGAAAGTAGAAAAGCGAATGATTTGGGGAAGGGAATTTTTCGCCTAATCCCCATTCCGCGCAGTCTTAGATGTGCAGGCGTGCTACAGGACCGCGCCTCGGTTCCCCGCTACCTGATGCTTTTTGAGTTGGATTACGATTCTTTATATATCCGATCGAACTGTTATCAAGCTAGTCCAAAAGTTGAAAACGGAAATTTCAAAAGTAGCCAAACTCAAGATGGGTAAAAACCATGGGTTGGAGAACGTTTAGAGCTTTGTCTGTCATTATTCTAAGTGGTTTGGGAATGGGTCTAAAAAACGGCACAAACTTTCGGACCGACCTAATGAATCTTTTGCATAAAAAATGTCACTGTACTTGAGGATGTTAAAGATTTGCATGAAAATATTGCTGCATGACTAGTCGCAGAGGCTACTTTCAAAGATCCTTCAAAAATGCCGCAATTCTCTTCCTTCTCCCCACTTTCGTTTTGTTCAAAGCGTAAGGGCGGACATGGGTAAGGAAGAGGAAAAGAAGTGTGAGAATGGTTGAAAATTTCGAAATACTCTTAACAAACAATAAATCTCTAGGAAACCTTAAAGAATTTGGCAAGTATACACTAATGAGAGATTTTGATACCCTTCCCACATTTACTTTCTAAGTATAATCATGTATCTATCTAAGTGACATGTTTTCACATAGAAAATGATTAGTGAGAACTCGAAAAACAAACAGCATCTTGTCGCATATCTCCGGGAAAAATGCAGTGCGTGATTTGAAAAAAATAAATTCAGCATTTCTGAGTTGAAAGTTCTGAGGTCACCCGCGGCTTTAGTGAATGGCAATTTCCGCCTACTTTGAAAAACCTTTGCTCCATTAATTTGTTCCTTATCTTATATATAAAGCTGAATGTCTGTTTGTATGTCTGTCTGTATGTATGTATGTATGTATGTACGTATGTTCCGAATAGAAAATTCCATTTCTGAACCGATCCGGACCAAACTTGGCACACATACACTTTGGGCCCCGGCGGGTGTCATAGGCTACTTTTCGTCATCGATCGATATCGATTTTATTGATTTTTATCGATTTTTTTGCTGAGTTCACCTACGGGGCTGGGAGTTGGCACAGGGGGGTAATCGAGCACGGGGATTCCGAATACAATATTGGTTTTCAGGATTATCGATTACTTTTATCGATTTTATCGATTTTTTTGCAAAGTTTGAGCTACGGGGCTGGGAGTTCGCACAGGGGGGTAATCGAGCATGGGGATTCCGAATACAATATTGGTTTTCAGGATTATCGATTACTTTTATCGATTTTATCGATTTTTTTGCAAAGTTTGAGCTACGGGGCTGGGAGTTGGCACAGGGGGGTAATCGAGCATGCTGATCATCCCCAAGGGGGTGATCAGCATGCTCGATTACACTCCTGTGCCAAATTCCATCCCCCTAGCTCAAATTTTGCAAAATCGATAAAATCGATAGAAGTAATGGATAATTCCAAAAACTAATATTGTATTCGTAATCTGCATGCTCGATTACCCCCCTGTGCAAACTCCCAGCCCCGCAGGTCAAACTTTACAAAAAAATCGATAAAATCGATAAAAGTAATGGACGATCCTGAAAACTAATATTGTGTTCGTAATCAGCATGCTCGATTACCCCCTGTGCAAAATCCCAGCCTCGCATGTCAAAATTTACAAAAAATCGATAAAATCAATAAAAGTAACCGATAATTCTGAAAACTAATATTGTATTCGGAATCCCCATGCTCACTTCCCCCCTGTGCCAACTCCTAGCCCTGTAGGTGAACTCTGCAAAAAAATCGATAAAAATCGGTAAAATCGACATCGATCGATAACGAAAAGTGGACTGTGACACCCGCCGGAGCCCGAAGTGTATGTGTGCCAAGTTTGGTCCGGATACGGCGGAGCCGGGTAAGCCAGCTAGTTTGATTATAATCTTTAGCACTCAGAATAAATCCACTTACAGATATCCGCAACGTGACTGCCATGAGAGTGTATAGATAAGCAGGCCATAGTCGGACAACACGATGTCTGTAAAAGCGCATCCAGTAGCCATAGGAAGTCCAGGTGGGTTCCTCCTCTGAAAAGTTCGGTTAAGAAAATATACTCGACACAGAAAGACACAAACAAGCGAACCTGTAGTGTTCTTCAGCCATTTTCTGAACCATGTGTAGGATAGTACAGTACCACCCAGTACAAGGAAGGTATCTACACTAAGTGTAAAATTAGTAATCCATTGGTTCCAGAAGTTATCGACCATAGCGTCTTTAAAATCATCAACATTTTCGAGGTACGCCTTGGAATTTATATTATTTAGAATTATACAATTTCTTGCAAAATATCGTGTTCTACCTGAACAAAAATAAATGAATGACCCATCAGAGTCCAAACCATCGAAAGAAATCGCATGCCAAACATGCATGTGATGCATGACTGCGGGTCTTTGGGTAACTGAACCAATCTTCGCAGATTTTTCGTAGCCGAAAATGCAAGTAAAATCCTGGTTGACGTTGACCTGAAACAATTCTCGTTTTCTTCGTTCAAGCGACATAATTACTGCTAAGAACTTCATCAGCACTCACTTGGCGGTTTCTCCTCTAGTGTTGTGATAGATAGTGGCCATTCCGACAAGCATAGCAAGTAAGATGTTGAAGGCAAAATCGGCGACCGGCACAAATTGCTCGAACCTAGGGAGATCAATATTTTGAAAGTGATTCCTGCAAGACTATATTTCGCAATTGAACATTTGATGATATAATTATGTGATGTTATCGACATATGTTCGGTTGATGCATAATTCTTGCTTAAAAAATAAAAAATATATCAAAATCGTCTAAACCATCTTAAGAATTTATAGAACATGTCTTTATGAATATCAAGTGCAATACATGATAAATATTTAGAATGGAACCGAAAAGTCGCTAAAAAAATTGGAAATCATAACTTTTTCCAGCGACATCTGATCAGTCTTCTCAATGGAGGAGTAGGCCATAGAACCAAGATCAAAAAAGCAGATCTTTAGAAGTTTAAGCTTTAGCGACATACGTAAAAGCACTTTTCGATATTTCCTTTGATCAACTCATTTCATTGCCGCATGCTATACAATTTCTAAAAATTGCAAATTTCCAACAACCTGTTCACAAGCAGAAACCGAATGCTGCAGAATCCCTAGACGTTTGAGTCTACCTAGACCCAAGTATTTTTTCAAATTCCACACATCGCTTACCATTGCTTTTCATGCCGTGAACCTGTACAAGCAGTGAAATCCATGGGAAGCTTAGCTTCTTGTGGTCTTGTCATCGTTCTCCATTCTTTCAGCAACTGAATTTTCCGCTCTCAACCACAAATTGTTCTAAGGTGCCATAGTCCCTACCTTGACATGATTCTCGGCACAAGGTGACGGAATGCATACGCCATATGCTTCAACTGGACTATCCTTATCCTCATGGGCATAGCAAAAATGCATAGGATACTCACTCTAAAATAATTACTATGTTTGAAATCATGAACCTCTCGAATCCAATGGTTCTAGACTGCTTTACCTTCGAGTATACAGTCTCTCCGGCAGCTATGATACATTCATATCCTCGGTAAACCCATCGATCCTGGTCACGCGAGAGGAACAGATTTGAAGGACCTATAAGCTTATCTTACTTGTGCGAACTTGCTTATTTGGAAAAATTAAGAGAAAATCTTCAAAACCTTGCTGAATCCGCACCTCCAGAAAGGATCGCCAAAAACTTAGATTTATGACTTCAAAATTGTTCGACTTTTAATAAATTTCGAGAACTTAGGCATTGCTGTGTATCACTTGTAAGCTCTTGAAGAGCTTACAACAAAAAATGAGAATTGACGGTGGACATCCCTTACTGCACTACTTTTTGAAAAAAAAAAGGGTCCCTTCAGCAATGCTGTGAAGTGCCGAGGTAGAGAGCAAGAAAATTGTGTAAAGAATAAGATTTGCTCAGCAGGTTTTACACCGTTAGAAAAAGTTCTTGAAATTTTGCCTGAAAACCCTATCTTTTTGTGCAAAAATTAATGAATTTAAAGTAAAAAATCGATCCCTTCAAAAGCCGACTTGTCTACGTTGCTTTCATGAATTATCTTGAATTTGTTTAGAGATAATTTTCTTGGAGATGGAAGATTTATAAATCTAAATTACGTTTTCCACGCATTTACGGTCTCTTTGATTTGTTGATAAGCACATTATTCCAAGACGACACTCTGTGACAACCAGCAATGGTAGTAAAAAGACCGTCATCTCATGGAACTAGAATGACTTGCATGTAAAGGCAAATCATCTTTGCTATCAAAGAAAACCACATTTCTCCGACATGATTACGCAAATTCTCATTCTACATTGTTTTTTACCGTCCCAAGTCTACTGAAAGGATGAACAAACCTGTTCCGAATGACTCAAAATAATAGATTCCTTGTGTTTCGAGGGTGTCGTGATGCAGCAGGTAAGAGTGCACCTATAATTATTGAGTGAAAAATATGATTTTAATGCACCATCTGTGCACATATGGGCTGACAAGAAAAAATTCTTAGAGTCAACTTTGCAATTATTTTGTAACGGATCTAAACGAACGAACCCTTCCCAGACTTTCTTTGCATTTGTCGCTGATATCAAGCGTTTGGGAGCGATTTATGAATTCTAGCACGAAGTTCTCATCGTAAGTTTTGAGCGACGCCTGTACCGTTGTTACAACGGCCAGCAACTGCAGTGCTCTAATCCATGTCATAACCCTGAAATGAAGACTTAGATCGTTTTAAACTATTCTGTAATAGGCGAAAAGAATAGGCAAGAAAGGATCGCAAATAAAGCTAGCAAGAAACATGAGACATGATCATTGTAAAAAATTGGGGTATGAGAAAGGAGGGGGATAAATCTCAAAATGAGAGCCATGTCAGAGGAGTGTGAATGTGAGAGTTACTTTGCTGGCAGGTTGGTTACAATCTATTGGAAATGGAGGAAATAACGGTGAAACTAATTTGAATTTGCAAACATGGATGTTAAAATTTGAATGCTCAATGCAGTGCTTCTGTAGAAAATTTGAATAGTTCTGAGAATTTGACGCTATAGAGACCATATAATGATATATCAGAACAAAATTGGAGGAAAGCAGGATTTTACAGTGCATACCTACATTCTACAGTAGCTTGTTGGACAAGTTCGAATTCATATAATTTGTTACCGTTTGTTTTTCAGCTGAGCGTTTCCTCTAGACAGACACTTTCAAACTGTGCTTACTTAGTCTGGAAATATAACTAACAATACTTTGACACGAGGTAATATTGTCATCCCAACTTATAGCGCCCATGCAAATAATGAAAATTGGGAAAATCTTGAGAACAAGGAACTGCAGTGAACGCTGTCATGCCAATCACGGTAAAAGAGAACATTTGGAATTAACACAAATGTAATATATTTTAAAGAGGTTAGGAAAAACATCGCCGTTGTAGTTATATGTATATGTTGACAGTGTGCCTCGAAAGTACAGAAAACCAATTCTTTTGTGTGAATCAGGACTCGTAAAAAAAGAAGAAATCGTTAGACTGAAAGGAACAATGGGACGACACACAAATTGCTACGATTCCGAGAATTTCCCGCGCTAACGACATGAAAGAGAGGAGAACGAATAAGTAAAAAATTGCAAAAATTGATGAAATGCGTTATTTATTGGCATTTCAGATATAAAATTTTGGCAAACTAAGAAGCGTTCAAAGAACCTAAGAACATGTTACCCTAAAATCTCCCAGATAGGGTCTCTTATCAAATATGTCCGTCTCCAAATATGTTCTGATTTACCTGACAGTCTTCATACTTATCTTACAAAGTTTTAGGGTACTTATGATGGAAAAAAGTTAGTGGATTTATCTGTGAGATTTAAGGTAGTTGTTTTCGTCTGTCATATAGGGCATTATATGATCGTTCGTACCCACTTTGTTTCAGGGAAGAGACTTTCACGAACTGAGATAAAATCAAAAAAGTCTTATAAGCGGTTTCGCGTCATTGTCTAGTCGGATGTCGCTCCAGAAAAGACTAAAATCCTTGAAAGCTTTATCAAAATGGTCACAATACTGTGTGACAAATGTTAAGTCGCATTTTACAAGATCTTTCACCCAAGTGTAATTGCTAGGTAAATTATTTGTGGTGATTCTCACATTTTGTCTGAACCATTTTGAAAACCTTACAGAACAGCAAGATATGAGTATTAGCGCGCTGATAATGAACATATTGAAGAAGATTTGGGATTCCAGAATATTACCTTCTACGACATTTTGTGCAGGTCAACTCAATCCTGGCAAAGCGTAGGTAGATCATGCCACAGAATCCTCAAAACGGTATCCCCGAATTAAGTAGAACACTTTAAGGCTAATCGGATTTAAGATCAAGCAGTATGTGATTTCGAGACATTTCTAATAATAATTTCTATTAAATGCATCGTAATGGTGAAATTATGAAAAGTCTACTTTATGTATTGCTATAGGAATAAGGATCAGAAGGGGTCTTGCAATTCCTTTGTAAACAACAGCACTATTGCAAGCCAAAAATGCGCACAAACAATGGCAACAAAACAAACTTGCAAGAAGTTAAGGTGCTTTATGCCTTGTTCTCATTGCAACGCAAGAAAACAAAAATGAAATGGCGTTTACAATTCGGCGAACACTACAGCTCTTCGCCAACTAGGTCTCATCATCGTTCTCCTGTATCAACATACCTTCACAGCAGTAGGGACCAGGATAGTGGAAATGTCAAAAAAATTGACGAGCCGAGTTGTGAAATGCATGGAAATAATGGTTCTGCTTCAGCAAATTAGATCTTCTATGAATTCCGTTTGTAGCATTAGCTTCTTGAAAATTATGGTCCGCGCCACGCCCACTATTTCAAAATTTCGCAGCACAAGCAGGCGAAAATTGGAGAGAAATTCAATGAATCTTCCAAGGCATTATTCAGGTCCTCAGAAATGGTGACACCTTCTGTCGGATTTTTTTCCTTATTTCTGCTCCCTCGAGAATTTTTTTTCGACCAGCACCGCTTCCCAGTGTTATTGTAACTGCACACTAAACGTTGCACGTTTAGCACAGATTCGCGTCGAAATAGCCGCTTTGACCTTTGTGACACAAATTTAGCGAAACACTGGAGTTTGACGGAGGTCGCGCGACTTGGAAGAATGTTCTTTGAACAGGCACTTTTGCACAAGGAACAATCAAAGCAGTTCCTGCGACATCAATAATGAATATTACCCATCTTCTCCCAGAAAAAATTTTTCTTCTTCGCAAATCACTTATATGGAGAAGTACCAAAAGAATATTGATCAAAAGTCTTCGACTGTATGCCATGGTCTTCTGTGCTCTGTTTTTTGTTAGAAACCAGCTTATGCATGAAGATTCCGAAAAAAAGAGCCATCTCGAAACGGCAAGATCTTTTGTATACGATGTTTTCGGAAATTCCGATATTTCACATTTGAGCTGCATCTTCATCAAAGACGAAAACTTCAGCAAATCACCTACAATCACTTTCTTCGCCGATGAAAAATTTATAAACTGGAATATAATAGAATAAACAAATCATGAACCAAATTTCTGATATATCTCTAAAAACTAAGTATTCTCAATAAATTCGTTTTTTACCACTTAATTTAGGGGAAGAAGATAGTGAGCTCAGTGTAGAGTTAAATCAGACTATTGTAAATATGGCAAGCGAGACACATTCTGTTTCCAAGACTCTTAAAAAATGCTAAATTGTTGGAAAATTTGAATAGTTTTTTCTTCCCATGACCTACTCATCTTGAGTAGAAGGACTTTGTGGCAAGATTCTCAAAATTTTCCGGACGGCTCTTGTAGTTATGTGGAACCAGTTCTCAAACAAGTTTTAAGAGGCTGAAATTAGTTTATACAATTTAGATACTTAATTTTCCAAACATTTTTTTTACAAATGCTCTAATTCTCTGGGGTAAGACTTGATTGCCAACAATTTGAACGTCTTCTTTAAAATGTGCGAATAAATAAAAAGAGAATAATCGAGTTTGGAAAATGAGGGAGTCGCAAACGTAATACACTTGCTTATAAGAAGATTCGCATGCAAATATATAGATGACAGAATTATGAGTGGAGAGAGAGTTTGTTCAAGATCGTCACACTAGATGAAAGCCGGCTACTGGTCTGGATGGTTTACTCATTCCCATGTAGAGCACTAGAGAACACGCATTACTGGTTTAGCGACGTTCGTGGTGTAGGCGACGATGCGACGGAAGCGGTTCGCGCCGTTTGACGAAGGCTGAGACAGATGTCCTTGCTAGGCGAGAAGCACTTCGGAAAGAGACAGTCTAGCCGGAATAGCTGTTAATTTGTAGTGGAACAGGCGGATGCAAACAGGGTGCGTAATAGTTGGTAAATGGTTCGTATGCTAGCAAGAGCAAGTTTTTTGAAGGAAAACACTGCAGCAAAGGAGATAAGATGCAATCGCCCGGAGGAACACGCAAAGCACACAGGAGAGAAGAAAACAGCCAAACCATTCAGCATAAGAGCCTCAGCTTGAACGTGCAACTATTAGGTTGTCCCGAAAGTCTTCTCGTTCTTTTTTCAAACGACAATAAAACCAGGTAAAATGAAGACCGAAATGAGTTTCAACATGCTATCGATGCAGCTTTTCCTTCTCTTTCTTATGGTTATATTCTCGTAGCATAAACTTTTGTGCACTTTTGATAATTTCTAGAATTGTTCACCCGTCAATTCTATATGTTCAATGTTCGGCTATTTTCGAAAATTGTATCCAAAAGTTTTGCGGAGGGCTAAATTGTATGTCACATTGGAGCAAGTCTTGGACTACAGGGTGACATTTTTAGACTCCTAACCTGCAGTGTTTAGATTTGAAAACATTGTATTTTTGGAGGTCTCAGTTTTAGGTAAAGTCCTGAAACATGCAATTGCATCGAAAGTATAAAATTATTGTTTCTGCGAGTTGAAACTTGGTTATTACCAAACACCATTTGTGCAACGCAATGCAGTTTGATTTGCTTGACGAAACAGCTTTTTGGAATTTTCGCTATTCCTATAAGCTGGAAGAAATCAAAAGGATTTCCCCGAATAAATAATCATTACAGACTTGACAAACGTGATCTAGATAAACCGAAAAAGTGTAATATAGCGAAAGCTCTACTCTATATAACAACTACCAGAGGTATGTGGAAATTCTAGGATAAGGTTTTTTTAATGCTGCGAAGATCTGGCGTTACCAGTGAGCTGCTCAAAGAGCCATGGTGGTAACATCGCAAAGACAGTATAGATCAGAAAGATAATTAGCTCTAGGAAAGAGGATAAAAATCTGATCCCAAAGATGAGATCGTCCATCGATCAGGGTTCTATGTTTTTTAGTGATCGATGAAAAAACTGACAAAACTTTCGGGACGACCTAATATTTTTCAAAACCTTCGACTCGAAGTCAGTTCAAATCTCAAATATGTGCGAGAATATGTGGAGCGAGGTGAGTGAGGCGAAGTCACGACCAAAATGGCAGTGACGAGATCTAATTGAGGGGCGTTAGGTGTTGGGAGAAGAAAGGAATGATGTGAGTCGGATCGAGGACACAACCACTGAGGGTCACCAGCGAGTGGACAACGTTTTTCAGATGAACCATTTCGAGACCTACTTACTTCTGAGGACTGGACTAATCCGTGCTTCATGAATCCAGCGCTCCTGTTGCAGCTGTTTGGTACATGGAGTTTCGTACAGGAAATCTTCACGATTGTGCAAAAAAAACAATAGTTTTCCCTGCAGCGAAGGCCACTCACTCTTGAAAGTACAAGGTCTTTTGGAATTCCGAAAATGCGCAAACTAGCAGACGAAAAAAAAAGTGTGAGCAATAAACATAGAGATTGTAGAACACTACTACCAGGTCACGTTTGCACTTTTCTCGACGATTTGAAATGTTTAGTTGTGAAATGATAATCATCAGAAGTAGTAAATCTTATTCTATGGGAGCAAACTGAATATCAACAAGAAAACAACATTTTTGCAAACTTAAAGCCTTGTTCTCACCTATTTGCAACGATTTACAGGCTGCCGTCTTTAAGCTAACAGAGAGAAACTCTCAAATTCCATTTTTAAATTCGGTCGAAAGGAATGCTAGAAGGCTTAATTGAGTTAGTTTTAATCTTGATTGTTTTACGCGCCTATTCTCCACGGAAAGGAAATGTGTTGATTGGATGTGTTTAGAAATAGTTGCAAATTGCTAGTTTTATGCTCAACACTTCTACTTTGTTCCGACTCGAACGAGGCATTGTAAAAGATAATAAATTGTTATAAGTGGCCAAAGTAG